AAATTTCACTAAACATATACATCCACACTTTCCCCCTTTTAGGTACATACGTAGCCGAAGACTTGATTGAGAAAGAGCAATTTGAGAGCTGAAACCATTAGGTACTCACTTCATAAGAATATAGAAAGTTACAGTGAACATTGCAGTAATACCAATATGTGCNTCGCTTATTACCATTTTCATAAGCTACTAGAAATGAAACTCCGTCACCTACCACGACTAGTTGGTTATACTTCAAAAATGTCGTTGATGAAGTTCATAAAGTTCATGCCGCCTGAAAAGTTAGACCGTACACCATTTTCTGCTGATCAGTTGCTTTTCGAAGGAGGATGGTGATACAATCGTCTTCTCACGTCTGAAAAGCTTGTTTGGCTTGAGCTTCCATTTACGGATGCCCGTCACAGGCGATAGTTATCGTTCATAGGCGTGGGCCTCTTCATTTGGCGTATTCTTGAGATGTCGATGCTTTCCATCGTGGAAATTTTTGAGCTAATGAAATTTTCTGATTAAGGCAATTTTCAAAGGTCGTCACTCATCAAGTCTTTGCGGATGATGGTCAGCTGTCAATGGGCATAATTTTGGGCATCATTCTTCGCTTCTGTCCTATGACCTATTCTTCCTTTATTTTCTCAGTACAGAAACCAGTAAAGAGGAACATTATGACAGATGATAGTTCACATACAAGAAAAACATGGAGAAAATTGAGAACGATTACAAAGATATGCATTTCGGCAAGACGTTGCATTGGTAGCAACAGCACAAAAACTGCCATGGCCACGACACTTGCCGACAGAAGGCGTGCTACCAGCACTGAGCACGGCCGTTGGAGATGACTGGATTCTTTTTCTTCCTCAGTTGGAGCTCGGCGTCCGAGCAGTTGCCATACATGGTCAGGAGTCATAAAATACCTGCAACAGAACAAAGTCCGTGACCGTAAGAACTTTTCTAGTGCTCCGAATAGCTTTTCTTTGGTGGTAGCCTCAGGGTTTTCTTCTTCAGGTAGAAGCTTCAGCTATATTCTGCTGTTTTCCTTCAAGAAGTGGCAGAAAGCCGAAACGCAGTCGTTTCCTTGAGGTGCGGGGTGGGAGGGGAGAAAAAAGGAGGATCTCGGGGGCCCAGTGCTGCAACTTGGTCTCAGAAAGAAAACCACGACAACCCAAGGTATCAAAATACCATAATGAACTGAACAGGTCGGTACCGGTTATAGAGAGAACCATCCCACTGCCAGGGGTGACTGAGGTAAACCGATTCTGAGGGTAGCTTTGCTGATTCTAACCCAGACCCTGAAGAGACCCTACGAAATTTCACTAAACATATACATCCACACTTTCCCCCTTGTAGGTGAGTACGTAGCCGAAGACTTGATTGAGAAAGAGCAATTTGAAAGCTGGAATCATTAGTTACTCACTTCAGAAGAATGTACAAAGTTACAGTGAACATTGCAGTAATACCAATATGTGCATGTGGAGGCCACAGACGATACATCTTAGGCAGCCGATCTGGATCTAACCGAAAAGCCATCCAGTCCACCAAAGGAGTAGCTTGGAATAACTGAAATTGTTAAACTGTAGCAGATTTATGAGCTTCAGACAGGTATTGCTCAGTGATCAAGGACAGGGCACACGCTGGAGCCCGAAGGAGCTCAGAAAAGGAAAGTTAGGTGTGTCAACGGATAAACTGTCCACTCACATTTTCTATAACCGGAATAGTTTTATGGCAGAAGAGAAATTGGGATAAATAGTAGTTCACGACGGTAGCTATAGACAATCGTACTGCCACTTCGACAACCACCCTGGGNATATAGAAAGTTACAGTGAACATTGCAGTAATACCAATATGTGCATGTGGAGGCCACAAACGATACATCTTAGGCAATCGATCTGGATCTAACCGAAAAGCCATCCAGTTCACCAAGGGAGTAGCTTGGAATACCTAAAACTGTTCAAGTGTAGCACTATGACCTTCAGACAGGTGCTGTTCAATTCTGAAGGGCAAGGTACCTTTGGTGCCCAAAGAAGGCTCAGAAAAGGAAAGTTAGGTATAGATAAAGGGTTCACTCACATTTTCTATAACCGGAATAGCTTTATGGCAGAAGAGAAATTGGGATAGATAGTAGCTTACGACGGTAGCTATAGACAATCGTACTGCCACTTCGACAACCACCCTGGGCTGAATCGAAAGCATGGACTCTCGGAAGCGTCTAAGTTTCTCCATCTTGCTCATGTCTCCATAGTGGATCTGTAATGAGCATAGGTCTACGTAAAAGGTATCTCGCTATATTGACAGGTGGCAAGCCGTTATTTTCAGAAGTTGATAGTTGCGATTTTTATAACATTAAAACTATACTGGTAATGCAACAGTTGCTGAATATTTACCAAGTATTTTGAGAAATATTCGAATAGTCCTAGAAAAGCGCTCTGAAGGAAAGTGATAGATATGGAAAGGAACGAGAAAATTGTGAAAACTCTTTTATGTACCAGTTGAACTTCAGGCCGATGCTTGGAACAATTCTCCCAACTACAGGGAACCTCATTCTACTTGGTCTTTCTAGTACTCTACGGGCTCGATGATTAGTTGTTTCTACATGGCAGTTTACATTCTAGGACAGTGGCCGTGCAAATAAATAAATAAATAACTTGGTAAAAATTGAGGGGAAAGAAATTCTGTCTTCAGTTGACAAATCTCAATTAAGTAACTCGTTGTCAGTTGCACTTCCGCTTGTTTTGTGGGATGGTGCAAGTTTAAGGATATCAGTGACTGGTGATTCATGATGTACTTCGACTACTCGCACTCACAATCAGTATAGTAAGGGCGTCCTCAGAGTCTGCCGGGAACTACAGAAAACCTAGAATTTTTCTGAAATCTTCTCTATAAACATTACAGAAGGTCACTACTAATTTGCATGCGCATAACATAGCCGGAGATTTCAAGATAGCGCAGTCATCTATTCGGTTCGAGACTCATCTTCGACCTTCTGGTTTTCAGTTTTGGAAAAAAAATGAATCATTTTAAGAATCGCTCAGAAAGAAGGTCAATGCCAAATACTCGGCACAAGTTTCGACGGGTTTCACGAGCGAAGTGGCCATATTCGAACCTTGTAGAGAAGTACGCGTTGATTACGGGGAGACCGTTGGGCAATTCCAGTTTTTACTAACCAGTGAAGGTGGAGCCAGATGTATCATGCACATTCAGTAGGGTAGGGCCCTTGTATAGCAGTTCAATAAAAACATTCTACAAAAAAATTCAGGATATTCTCACAAGGTTGGCAATTTATGGACATAAATTCAGTCTCAGACGAAACTCGAACCCGTACTTGTCCTTTCCGGGAACCGTGCTCTTATCCCTTACACTACCGAGACCCCCAACATTGAAACGATTTTTCTTCCTAACAACAAAATATCGTGCATTTCATGGCCACTTGAACTCGAAGCGGCAATTGGCAGCCTATCCAAGTACTACCGAAGCCAAATGCAAGTCATCCTTCCAAAGGAGTCTGGTACAGATTACTGTTCCTGTAGGAGTAGAAGGTTGAGCTAGCTTCACTCCTACGATGAATTCTGTTGAACAATTAGTCCTAGAATGGAATTTTGCGACTTTTTCACTGTGCCAGTCACATTTTATTCATAATCATTGAATGGACGGAGTGTATCTGAAGAAAATTTCACAGTATACGTAAAAAGCGCCGGATTTCTTCTCGAATGTTCTCGAAACTTTTTCAGAAATACTACAAAAGGACACCGGAACGTTCACCAGACTCAAGATCGACTTCGAATCTCACTTCAATCGTTGGAATTGAGCGCATTCAGAATTGGTTGGATGTAGGGTAAGGCCAAACACTTGATGAGTCTCATGAGTGAAATGGCCGAATGGTCTCGTAAAGTAGTACGTTTTGTTTAAATGGGGACAATTCGGCCATTACAGAGTTAAATAATCAAGAAAGAGGGAGTCGGATATGTCATGCAGATGCAGAAGGGCTCCGAAAATAATTTCCAAGAAACCTTTCAGGTGATTACAGAAAAAATAGGGACACCAGCAAAATTTCCGGTACCTACTTGACGTACAACTCGAAACGAAACAACTCTGTAGCTGTTCTGTGTGCCTTCTACTCTATAAAAGTGGTAAAAAATAGAAAATAAACCGAAAAAAACGATTTGTCTCAGATGGCTTCGATAAAAAAATCAAATAGGATTCTACTGAAGAATTTCGAGGAGATGCCTACCGTTATGAACATGAAGCCAGGGC